ATTCCTTCCAAACCACTCATTGTTGAATTTGCAATTTCCAACTTGTTGTGTAATGTTTATGACCTTGAGCCTTCTTGGATGGGCACTTCTAATGTAACTATATGGCAGCACCCAAGGGGCTTGAATTTTCAAGCTCTACCCTTAGATTTGGCGTTGACGTAGTGTCCCCATGAGTGACAGAACACTGAGCCAATCATGGCGCAACTAGAGAACATTACCAACCTCTACCCTCTCACTCATTAACTTACTCACTTGTAAAAAAAAAAAAATGTTTTACATTGTTTGCAAACTGATATGTGACACGTATTAATGCCAAAATAACATGCAAAACAGGCATATTATTTTTAGCTAGAAAGGTGGGGCTCAAAACAGGTGGGGCTCTGCCCAACCTGCCCTGAATGAGGGGTTGCCACTGGTAACAATACAAGAACAATGGTAAACGGCACAGGAAGAAGGGTTTGAGGTTGCGGGCTGGAAAAGCGGATCCTTGTTATTCATTTTATTTCTGTATTTTCTGATATCATAGACCTTTATGCCACTAATACCATTCAGGCTGTGGTATTGGTCCTCTACTATTAAACCTGCTGTATCCAGCTTATTCACTCCCCCTCCTGGATATAAAGGAATAGACTGCTGTAAGAAAATGGCAGAAGGGGTGGTGGTCCCTGAGCAAATTCATACTTCAGGGAGAATGGTGGAGAATCTGAATGTAGTCCATGTCCAGAAAGAATCCCTACCTCCTACCTCCTAGGTCCTAGGGCCCCTAAAACGTTTTTGCCATATTGTTTATATCTATCCAGTTCCCTCAAGTACAGTACCTAAGGTGTGCAGGGGCTGGTAATCTCACACAACATATAATAATAGTATGACGTGAAAATGAATAGGAAGCGGTGTTTCACCGCGTGGCACCGTATGCTAGTGTACATGAAGGGTGAGACTGAGACAACCGGCTTGTCTATCTGTGTGGCACATTTTTACGTAGTGACTCACTCACTGCAGAAGTTTATTTACTTTGATTATTTACTACATCTATAACTGTGCTGTCTAAATAAAATACGTTTTCAGTCTGTTGAAAAAATTGTATTTAAATGTTTAATATATTACAAACATATTACATATTACAATAAGACATTATAGGCCCCCTATATGTTTATAACAAGTAATAAATCATTAGTTTATCAAACATGTTTGTTTAAAATAAAGTAGGCCTGGTCTAATAATGTCAGTAGGCCAAATTTGAGTGAAATTGTTCGTTAGCTAGGTTGTCTGAATACTCACCCCAGGCCTGACCAGGATAATCTCTCTCAATTCAATTCAAGGAGCTTTATTGGCATGGGAAATATATGTTTACATTGCCAAAGCAAGTGAAACGGATAGACAAAAGTGAAATAAACAATAAAAAGTTAACAGTAAATATTACACTCACAAAAGTTCCAAAAGAATAAAGACATTTCAAATGTCATATTATCTATATATACAGTGTTGTAGCGATGTGCAAATAGTTAAAATACAAAAGGGAAAATAAATAAATATGGGTTGTATTTACAATGGTGTTTGTTCTTCACTGGTTGCCCTTTTCTTGTGGCAACAGATCACACATCTTGCTGCTGTGATTGCACACTGTGGTACGGTTTGACTCTATAGATATGGGAGTTTATCAAAATTGGATTTATTTTCGAATTATTTGTGGGTCTGTGTAATCTAAGGGAAATATGTGTCTCTAATATGGTCATGGTCAAATGTCATTAATTTGGCAGGATGTTAGGAAGTGCAGCCTAGTTTCCACCTAATTTTGTTGGCGATACATTTCAATAAAAAATGTTATATTTCAATTTAAGGGCTTTATTGGTATGGAAAACATATGTTAACATTGCCAAAGCATGTGAAGTAGATAATAAACAAAAGTTAAATAAACAATACAAAAATTACAGTAAACATTACACTTCCTCTCTCTCTCTCTCGCTCTCTCAGTGACGTCAAGTATCAGCTGACTGTTTTGTTTCGCTATAGACTCCGCAGCAATCAGCAAGGAAGGCATAGCACAACATCAGAAGACTCAAGTAACTTCTTATTATTACAAAAAGCTGGGCTTTGATCTGCCCAAAATTTATATGAACTACGTTGAAATATATTTTCAATTCATACAGGGATCTTTTGCCTCGTTTACAAAACGGTTTGACCTGCGTGAAATATGCCTTCAGAGAAGACATTCAAACAAAGGAGGACATTTGGTATGTAGCCTATTAGTAAAGCAGGTTTTATCATTGAAGTTGTCTAATTGTATAGATTATTTCGATTATTATCAAATTTAGTGGCTTCTTATTTCAGTGTCAGCTTTTATTTGGAGAACAGATGGTTTCCCAATTTCCCCTAGTAGGCCAGGCCTAGTGTCTGAATAGTTAATCAGATCAGACGGATTGCAAATATGGTGTTGTTGTGTTTAGTTTATATGCTGTAGCATATAATGTATGTCTCTGTAAAGTGTGAGCGAGTGGCAGCAAAACGTTAAATGGATTATCTTATGCTCAGCTTGTTTGTGACAGAGATGTTAAAAAACAACAAGTAGCCTATATTACTCTTCTCGAAAAGCAGTAAAGTGCGCTGCATGATTGGGGGATGGGACGTATTGCGTAGGTTAAAGGAAGGCCTAAAGGAAAGGGACAAAAACAAATGTCTGTAACCTCTGAGACTTTATCATGTAGGCCTAGACCTAGATAACAATCCAAATATTAATTGTCGTGTTAACTTCGGTTTCTGCCAATAGGCCTTTGTGTCGATACATTTTTGCGTCTGCGATAAGGCCCCTTGTTTACTTGTAGACTTCGCGAAAGTCAGCTCTTTGGCGATAAAAGCCATGTAGCCAAAAATCGGTTAGTTACCATTTCCTGCATTGGCTACGAAGGTTTCCTATTTCTTTGAATTTGGCCAATTTGTCGTCACTGTAAATGACTGCTGCCTCAGTGCCTGTACAAATGCCAGGCGCTGCATAAGGCCTAGGCTATATAAAGTATCTGATGTCATAGAACACTTCTTCAAAACAATTCAGACCAAACGTCAGTCTTCAACGTTTCCATGTGGCCGTGTCCTAACAGAACATTTGCGCAATATCACCACGTGAGAATGAGAGCACTGACTGAACACGTGCAGTGTTTATGAAGAACATAAACATCTTACCATTTACAATGTTGCTGTAAAATACAACTATTTTACACTGCAGTAGTTACCACAGGGGATGATGTAGTTATTACATTGGTTATTATTATATTATTGTAGTTATACATAAGGTACATCTATGGATTGGAAAGTGAAATCTAAAAAGTTAAGTTACCTTCACATAGTGTGTAGAGTTGACCAGCTATGCCAAAATATGTGGCTATGAAGTCATGAGTAGGCTAGATCTATGCTTATAGAGGCTACAGACGTGAAATGTGTCCACTTTCGTAATAACTTTTTTTAACAGGGTTTGTGAAAATAGAGATGGATGTAAACAAGCTTTTTATTTTCCTTCTCTTATATTTCATTCCAAATGTTGAGCAACATATTGGTACACTGGCTGGTAGCCCAGAGGTAGCCAGAGCTTCCTTGTTTCTCTAACTGCTCTGGCGTTTAACCTGTTAAACTGCAAGTATTTATAATAATTGAAAAGTTACTTATCATTTGAAAGCTACAGACCTTGTCGTTTTGGAAATTGAACTCAAATCTTACTGCTGACAATGTCATAAGGTCTGACATTTAATCTGACATAAAATCCCCTTGGAACAGTAATTTGTGACATATTTTATTTCAGACCTAGACATTCAAATCTCTTATTCCCCCTCCCCGAATGTAAAACAAATAAAAAACAGTATATTTCAGGGGTTATTGGCCTACTGTATCTCAGGCTCTGTAGTAGTCACATTGTTTCTGACACCTTTATCAGAATCCCACAGTTCTTTCCAACAATACTAAGCAGTTCTAACAGTGGGGTGGCAGGTAGCCTGGCGGTAAAGAGCGTTGGGCCAGTAACTGAAAGGCCACTGTTTCGAATCCCTGAGCCAGTAAGCTGCCATTCTGCCATTGAGCAAGGCAGTTAACCCCCAACAACAACTGCTCTCCAGGCTCCTATGACGTGGATGTCGATTAAGGCAGCCCCCCGCAGCTCTCTGATTCAGAGGGGTTAGGTTAAATGTGGAAGACACATTTTGGTTGTGCAACTGACTAGGTATCCCCCCTTTCCTAAGCATGTGTTTGTAGGACTTATCGTTTTGAAACAGAAATGTACTTTATGAGGGTAGTAAACAATATTAAGCGTTGTTTAGAAAATGCCACCAGAGGGCGTCAGAGTTTAAGAGGTTAACTAATTACAGAGGTAAATGTGGAACAAAAGCCTTTACTCATCTGAAATAACAATTTGTCTGAACTATCACTTTAAGTCTGTTGGATTTACTTAAGAGCAAAGTGAACAATCAGTACTGTAAGCATCTGTTTCTCTAGTGTATTTCTGGATAGAAACATTTACATTTTAGTCATTTAGCAGACACTCTTATCCAGAGCGACTTACAGTTAGTGAGTGCATACATTATTTTTAATACTGGCCCCCCATGGTAATCGAAGCCACAACCCTGGCGTTGCAAACGCCATGCTCTACCAACTGAGCAACATCCCTACCGGCCATTCCCTCCCCTACCCTGGACGACGCTGGGCCAATTGTGCGCCGCCCCATGGGTCTCCCAGTCACGGCCGGCTACGACAGAGCCTGGATTCGAACCAGGATCTCTAGTGGCACAGCTAGCACTGCGATGCAGTGCCTTAGACCACTGCGCCACTCGGGAGAAAGGCAACAATATGAACATTTTAGTGGAGTAATTGGGATCAGGCAGTTCATCCTTCCAGGCATTTGTGTTATTGTTGTTTCTTCTGTCAGTCTGTCATAACTAACCCAGACTAGGGTTTGAGTGTAAACAAAGGGGCCCAAGGCGTTATCTGGTGCCATGGAAACAGTAGTTTTGGCCTTGTTGCAAATGGTCACGGAGGTGCAAAGTTCAGCTGGGCTGGATTAGTGCCGATAATGTTCACTTACTGTTTCGTTTAGGGTCTGAGTTGATTCAGCACCTGGTGGTTTGCTGCACTGATTGTATTGTCTAGAAACATAGGAGGTTTGAGATAACATGCTACCATATATTTTCCCATTGATTTGTCATCTCACCTGTTCTCTCTTCCTTGTGTCCACAGAGCAGAGAGTAGATGATGTGAGACTGATTCGAGAGCAGCACCCCAACAAGATCCCGGTTAGTATCACATCTATTGCCACAACAATTCTAAAGTATACATGAACAAAAAAATATTCCTCAATACGGACCCACCCTTGCTTCCCTCCACACACTGAAGGTATCCTCCCTAGCGGTTATTCTCATGAATAATAGGTAGAAGGGTGTGGAACTGTCTCTGTGTTAGCCATGTGTCAGGACCCAAGCAGACCACATAGCAGATTGAATATCGCTCTAACCTTCCATCTGCTGCCTCTCTCCCCTCCTCCACCCAGATGTACACACACACACACACACACACACACACACAAAGACACTGAGAGCCTAACAGAGCCTCATTTACAGTACATGACTGCTTCCTGAGCCTTTCCTTTGTCTCTCCAGGGGTCACAAAGTGCTGAGTAATGCCCCTCCCCCTCTGACTAATACTAGCTGTGTCTTGGTATTGCCCCCCCCCCCCCCCCCCCCCTCTGACTAACACTAGCTGTGTCTTGGTATAAGACATTTCCTCTGCTTCTTTTCAGGTCATCATCGAGAGATACAAGGGAGAAAAACAGCTGCCCATCCTGGATAAAACCAAGTTCCTGGTTCCTGACCATGTCAACATGAGTGAACTGATCAAAATCATCAGGTACTCCTTCAGGATGTTACATTATCTTCTATTAACTTCTCTGTATTTACTGACATCAATTTATCAGTCATTTAATCACTAAAGCAAATTTACTTAGTTTATCTTATAAATAATAATACAAATGTGAGGATCTGATACACTATCTACTCTCTGTCTATCTGTGTAAGTGAGGATATTATGTGCTAAACTCTCTGTCTGTATGCTTGCCCCACTAGGAGGCGCCTCCAGCTGAACTCCAACCAGGCCTTCTTCCTGCTGGTGAACGGCCACAGCATGGTCTCCGTGTCGGCAGCCATCGCTGAGGTGTACGATCGCGAGAAGGACGACGATGGCTTCCTCTACATGGTGTACGCCTCGCAGGAGACCTTCGGAACCGTGGCCCCCCAGTAACAGCCTCCCACCAGTGCTCGGACAATGATACCACCCCCTCCCTCCCTGATCCTTCGTTCCTAAATACAGATCGATCCCCCCTGCCTTCCCTCGAACCCTTGCTTACAACCTTAGCCAAGACAATAGGAACCAGACAGACCTCTTCTCCCATGCCCTTACGGGCCCCTTATAGATATTAAAAGCTATGTCCTGCACCTTCTCATACTCTGCCCCCTACCCATTTCTCAAAACCTCTCCCCGTACATCCATTACTCAAAATCTCCCCGTACATCCATTACTCAAAATCTCTCCCCGTACATCCATTACTCAAAACCTCTCCCCGTACATCCATTACTCAAAATCTCCCCGTACATCCATTACTCAAAACCTCTCCCCGTACATCCATTACTCAAAATCTCCCCGTACATCCATTACTCAAAACCTTTCCCCGTACATCCATTACTCAAAACCACTCCCCGTACATCCATTACTCAAAATCTCTCCCCGTACATCCATTACTCAAAACCTCTCCCCGTACATCCATTACTCAAAACCTCTCCCCGTACATCCATTACTCAAAACCTCTCCCCGTACATCCATTACTCAAAACCTTTCCTTGTACATCCATTACTCAAAACCACTCCCCGTACATCCATTACTCAGAACCTCTCCCCATACATCCAGCCATGTGTTTAAGAAAAGAGATTCAATAGTTATGTTTGGTGTATAGAATGGATGAGTATAGCAGAGATGATTGCCAGCTCAGGTTGAGTTCGCTCCCACAAGACTCAAACAATTTACATTTTAGTCATTTGGCAGATGCTCTTATCCAGAGCGACTTACAGTTAGTGAGTGCATACATTTTCATACTGGCCCCACGTGGGAAACGAACCCACAACCCTGGCGTTGCAAGCGCCATGCTCTACCAACTGAGCTACAGCTTAAATCCCTGCTTGAGTCCATCATGGTTGAGTTCAGGTATACAGAAATCTCCAAATTTTATTTTCCACTTGTTGGGTTTGCTAAACTTGAATGAGCTCAGTCTTTTGGAAGAAGCTTCAATCACAACAACAGCTGCTAAGGAATTTGCTAACAGTTTAGTTAAACCGTTAAATCCATTTTGACTGACATGGGACATATTACTTCCACAAGAACATGTTTCATCATGTGTTAAAAGTCTCCTATAATTGGTGACTCAGGCCAATAATCTTAATCCTCTTTAGACTTTCCTTTAGCAACTTGGTTGAATATTCTAGGCCAAATATAGGCTTCATTATATTTACACAAGTTTTTAAGGATAACATGTTCATGTTTGTTCAGTTTAGCAGTTCCCCTCCACCTCTGTTGCTTAGTTGAGCTACTTGATAAGGGTTGTGGGTTCAGAGATGATTTTACTTTGCTCCTAAAAATAAAAAAATAAGGTCCTTTTTCTAAAGATTTTTTATTTTCCCGCGCTTTGTTGTAAACATCTCCACATAGAAGAGATGTGAGGGACTCCTGGTTAATTTTGTAAAAAATGCTACCGAAAACCTGCTATGATGATTGTAATAAGAAATTTGCCTCCGTGTACAGCATGATGATCGAATTGCACGTGTGTGAAAGGGTCACTGATGTGGGATAATGCTGATGTCAGAAGTAAGGTGTGGGGTTGGTGGTTGTTTTGGACTGGGCGGGCATCACGGCCGGGTCTGTCCACCAACCAACTGTCCATCCCTTCCCCTCCTAGACCTGCCCTAGGGCTCCGAACAGTACTCGTCCCTGGGTGCTATCACGCTTTTAGAATATTCAATTTGTTTAATAGAGGGTTATTTACGCCTTTATAATGTGTACTGACTGTTGTGCTTTTCCCTCTCGCTGTCCTCTCAACTGCTTAAATGTTAGATACCTTTTTATCTCAGCATTTTTGGCAGTTAATCTTTCTTTCTTTTGTTTTTATTTAATGTGATGTTACTTCCTTGTACAAATGTCCATATGCTATACGTGTGTGTGTAATGAATAAGAATAATTCTATGATCAGTTTGATTGAGGGTTTAATAACAGAGGAATTGTGCAGTTTTATCAGCCCAATGTTCCTCTGCATGCTCCACTGTTTGCCGCTCTCATTCTTCATATTCACAGCAATATTACACAACCTTTTATTGTATTTGTTGGTATTTTATGAATAAAACAAACCAAAACTATGTAAAGGTGGTGTGTATTCCCCATCTAGAACTCCTATCCTGATGTTAGAATTAGATAAAATACTGATCACAGAGAAACACAAATGTTGCCATGAAATCAGAAAACATTTTAATGTATTTTACAATGTTTTTGATGCAGTATATAAAACAAACAATTCTTAACACACTACACCATACAATACAAAAATCGTACATAAAAATGAACAAGTGATTTGCCCTTCAAGCTCAAATCTGCTTCAAAATAAAACCAAATGTTTTAAAACACCTTTTAAATGCACAAAATGTTTACTTGAGAGCAAGCAACATATATAGCTATTGACTAAGAAGATAGCTATGTTACATTCAAATAATACCAGCTAATAATATTTGTCTTTGGGACAGGGGGGTGTCATGTATGTTTGACAACAATCTCATTGGTACCAAGTAAGGCGAAACAGTTCCAGAATAAAAAATATGGTATCATTTTATTATGGCCATACATTTTCTTTAGTAAATGATTGTACCATGCAGGGTTGCTAAGGCATCCAGGAAGCACAGCTTCGTGCACAAACATGATTTCCAATGGTCAATCATTTCACTCTTTTTCATTTGAATTATATAATGAAGACGGTTGGTGGTTTACACAACATGTTTGCAGCATGAACCAGGGTGTATTCATTAGGCACAATGTTACAGAACAATGTAAAAACAAATGCACCACCAGAGAATCATGTCTGCTCTGTGACCGTGGTGCATGCTAGTTCTGTATGTGGTGTACTGTTACAGTAATGTGCCCACTGTAAGCTATTACTCCCTTGAGAAATTGACAGTATGGATGTGGTAAAAAGATTTGACCACCAAACTTTGACACTTTTTATACTAAATACAACATTCCCTAGCATGCAATACTGTACAGATAGTCAGATACAATTCTTTAATCTTCAGTCCTCAGACCAGATATCACATCCATCTGAATAGAACTACTGTAAATCTGTTTCCTTTTTCAACCAAAGGGATCCTGATTTTGTCAAAGTCTTAAAGAGCAACTGCCCCTAAAAAACACCTTCTCATTTAGAAAACAGCCTGTGGCATCGATATGAGTCAGAAACATTTATTATACTGTCAAAATTGACTATGAAATAGGATAATTTTGGTCATAAAGTCAGTCTCGTCCAAAACAGAGTTTTGTAAGTCTTGTGGTCGTGACTGCATCACAACGTAAATGAAGGTTGGGTTTGCTTCAATCCTGCCCACGTGCCCACAGCTGACAGCACACAAGTAATCATCAATCCAGAGTGGAGCTGCACGCGACCCAATCGTAATGCCTGTGGTAAATTTGGGTTGACTTTGGATATCCCTATGGGGCTAGTTATGGAGCATCTGTAAATTACACAATACAGTGAGGGAAAAAAGTATTTGATCCCCTGCTGATTTTGTACGTTTGCCCACTGACAAAGACATGATCAGTCTATAATTTTAATGGTAGGTTTATTTGAACAGTGAGAGACAGAATAACAACAACAAAAATCCAGAAAAACACATGTCAAAAATGTTATAAATTGATTTGCATTTTAATGAGGGAAATAAGTATTTGACCCCTCTGCAAAAAATTACTTAGTACTTGGTGGCAAAACCCTTGTTGGCAATCACAGAGGTCAGACGTTTCTTGTAGTTGGCCACCAGGTTTGCACACATCTCAGGAGGGATTTTATTCAACTCCTCTTTGCAGATCTTCTCCAAGTCATTAAGGTTTCGAGGCTGACGTTTGGCAACTCGAACGTTCAGCTCCCTCCACAGATTTTCTATGGGATTAAGGTCTGGAGACTGGCTAGGCCACTGCAGGACCTTAATGTGCTTCTTCTTGAGCCACTCCTTTGTTGCCTTGGCCGTGTGTTTTGGGTCATTGTCATGCTGGAATACCCATCCACGACCCATTTTCAATGCCCTGGCTGAGGGAAGGAGGTTCTCACCCAAGATTTGACAGTACATGGCCCCGTCCATCATCCCTTTGATGTGGTGAAGTTGTCCTGTCCCCTTAGCAGAAAAACACCCCCAAAGCATAATGTTTCCACCTCCATGTTTGACGGTGGGGATGGTGTTCTTGGGGTCATAGGCAGCATTCCTCCTCCTCCAAGCACGGCGAGTTGAGTTGATGCCAAAGAGCTCCATTATGGTCTCATCTGACCACAACAATTTCACCCAGTTCTCTTCTGAATCATTCAGATGTTCATTGGCAAACTTCAGACGGCCCTGTATATGTGCTTTCTTGAGCAGGGGGACCTTGCGGGCGCTGCAGGATTTCAGTCCTTCACGGCGTAGTGTGTTACCAATTGTTTTCTTGGTGACTATGGTCCCAGCTGCCTTGAGATCATTGACAAGATCCTCCCGTGTAGTTCTGGGCTGATTCCTCACCGTTCTCATGATCATTGCAACTCCACGAGGTGAGATCTTGCATGGAGCCCCAGGCCGAAGGAGATTGACAGTACTTTTGTGTTTCTTCCATTTGCGAATAATCACACCAACTGTTGTCACCTTCTCACCAAGCTGCTTGGCGATGGTTTTGTAGCCCATTCCAGCCTTGTGTAGGTCTACAATCTTGTCCCTGACTTCCTTGGAGAGCTCTTTGGTCTTGGCCATGGTGGAGAGTTTGGAATCTGATTGATTGATTGCTTCTGTGGACAGGTGTCTTTTATACAGGTAACAAGCTGAGATTAGGAGCACTCCCTTTAAGAGTGTGCTCCTAATCTCAGCTCGTTATCTGTATAAAAGACACCTGGGAGCCAGAAATCTTCCTGATTGAGAGGGGGTCAAATACTTATTTCCCTCATTAAAATGCAAATCAATTTATAACATTTTTGACATGCGTTTTTCTGGATTTTTTTGTTGTTATTCTGTATCTCACTGTTCAAATAAACCTACCATTAAAATTATAGACTGCCCAATGACAAAGAAATGATCAAACGTACAAAATCAGCAGGGGATCAAATACTTTTTTCCCTCACTGTATACATGGGACAATATGTAAAAATTCCAATATCTCCAAATTTCAATGACTTAAAACGTCAAACCAACTATAAATTGTAGAAATTCATATACAAATATTGAAAGCATTTAATGAGAACTAAAAGTTGTGCAACATGAAAATATTGTTTCATTTACATTGTGTCATTTATTGACGGTCCCTAACTAGCCCAGGAAATAGGCTATCCAAAGTCAAACAAACTTTGCCGAGGTCGCAGCTGAAGCTAATTGGCGAAATAATTTGGCTAATTCTTCTCACCTGCGAACACACACAAAAGACACCCACATCAAACCAACTCAGTTTAAATTCAGTCATGGCCCCTAGCATTTCTTAATGAACCAAATCTAAAATGAGGCCAAAATAGGAAGTGCAGTTGCTCTTCAATGACCAATTTGAAGCAATCGGTGCTAGTGTTTATTGGTACCTACATGTACAAATTACCTCGACTAACCTGTACTCCCACACATTGATTCGGTACCGGTACCCCCTGTATATTGTTATTGTATTACTTTTTATTATTTTTTACTTGAGTTTATTTGGAAAATATTTTCTTAACTCTTTCTTGAACTGCATTGTTGGTTAAGGGCTTGTAAGTAAGCATTTCACGGTAAGGTTGTATTCGGCGCATATGACAAATAAAGTTTGATTTGGTATATAAAGATCATTTTCAACAAAATGTCCCTTATGACTGAATTGTGTCCTCCAGACCTGGCTAGGAACACTCCAGTGCAACACAAAAAAACAATAACTTGTCCATCCTTGAGGACTACTGTCCTCATGTCACACTCACATCCAATGGACTGGGACCAGCCAGTCTCATAAAAGTGCTTTCACATGCCACACCATAGTGGCAACTCAAGGACACATTCACTGACATTCAATATCAAATCTTTCTCAAAAAGGATCCTCTTACATATCACCACCTCATCACATAAAATCCAACTATTATAAAACATGACAAAATCTAATTTACATAACATTATACATACAATTAAAACATACACACATTTCAGGCAGTGGTTATACAATTAGACTGCTCCAACTTCTAAACTTCTAAATGATTAAACAACACAAATATCAATGACATCTTAAAATCTAAACTAAGAATGCTTGCATCATTCTTTCACCATTAATACCTGCACTGTATAGGGCCAGTGAATAATGTGTAGAATAAAGCACTTGTTTCTCTTCCTCTGTGTTTCTCACAGACCTGCTCTGTCAGTCAGTCAATGTGCATTATTTGGCAGTCATCTTATACTGTAAGTCTTTACATTCACACTTCAACATCCTCTCAGATACATCCAACTGTCATCTCCAGAGCGACTTAAAAGGACATCTTTGCATATTACATGAGTTGTTATGAAAGGTGTAGATCTGTGGAGTTTGACCAGAGAACTGAGTGAGGCTGAGGTGTGTACCAAGTAGTGTGAGGAGTATTGTATAATATTTTCAACTTTGGGTTTTGTACAGCTAAATCATTTCCCATTCGAAAATACTGTATACCCTCGGCCTCAGGGTTTAGACCTGACCATCTCTTGTATTTGGTATGATCAAAATCATATGTTACAGATGGACTGGGGTTAATAGCACCTTCCAAACCGACTCTATGCTTTGACTTCCATCAGTTGAGTTAAGTGGCCTCTGCCTACCATTCATTCACCAATCATCAAAGAGTGTTCAAAGATTCAAAGAGTCACCTAAATGAAAGGGACTCCTCCATCAGGAGGAGCATAAGGTGCTGATGTGCACAGAGGTCACAGGTCACAGGAGTTTCTTGTTCTTAGTCCCCAGAGTCCTGGCTGTCTGATTTGGGAGCATACTTCAGCCGGAACGTGCCTGCAAAAAAACAAAATACCAATGGAGCTAAACATATCAAATTCCCCAAGAGGTTTCTGCAGATATTAAACATATGTATTTTCAATCATGGAATTACAATATCTATTTTAGTAGCTGTAAGGTTTCTATGTTATACCTTGTTGAGCAGCGTCCATGGGTGGCTGCTTGCATTCCGGTGCCCGATGGCCTGTGACCCCACAGTTGTAGCAGGACAGGCTCCCTGGCTTCTTGTGCCCTCCGTTCCCCACCACCCCATGAGGCTGGTGCAGGTTGGCACCGGCCCCCAGGAAGCCCTGCATGGGGGGCAGTACCAGCCCCTGGGTGTCATGGCTGTGAGACATGCTGTTGTTGTAGAGGGGCGGTGCCACCAGGGGGTAGGGGAAGGGGGTGGCAGTACTGCTCCCAGCCAGCAGGGGACTGAGGTGAAGCATGGGCCCCAGGGTGAACACTGACGTCCCTGAGAAGGGGTGCTGGAAGTACCCTGCGTAGCTGGCCGGGAGAGCCCCGTAGGAGCCACAGTTCCCACTGCAGCCACAAGAGCTGCAGACGCAGACAGAGGAGCTGGGGGTGGAGCCAGAGGTGACAGCGTAGCTGCTGGTCTCTGTGGATGTGGGACTGGAGCTGGGTTGGACAGCAGCACTACTGTTCACACAGTAGGTGTTGCCTGGCACCGCTGCCATGGGAACACTGCTCGTAGTTCCCATGCGAACGCCACTCACAGACGGAAATGCTAACTTGGCGGCGGGAGAGGAGGAAGAGGCAGAAGAGGAGGGGTAGGGGTAGTGTCCAGCACGCCATAGGGAGGGGGACACCTGCAGGTGTAGAGGGGGGTGTGAGACGTGGTGCAGGGTGTTGGAGGTTGTGGTGAGGGCGGAGCTGGTCTCCACCATCAAGACTGGAGGGGGGCGCAGCACGGTGACCCCAGAGGGCCCCCGTGGCCCGGCAGAGTCCTGATTGAGGGGAGGGGACCCCATACTGTCCACACTCAGGCCAGGGAACACGCTCTCCAGTCGCACCCCAACAGCTACACCTGAACCCAGGGGTTTGGCCCGCTCGTCAGGGCAGAGGGGAGGTAGCCGGGGATTACGGGGGGAACCCAGGATGCATCCTGATGACTGTAGGTTTAGGGAGGGAGGAGGGAGGCTCATGTGGGAGGGGCAGGGAGTAGGATCATTCTGCACGGGAAGAACCTGAGCAGTGGGCCGACTAGGCCCTGTTGTAACGGTGGGGTTTAGGAGAACATAAGTCCTGTCCTTCTCTCCTAGGTCTAGTCCTGACTCCATACCTGGATAGGGACAGGATGACATAGAACAAAATGTTATCAGTGATATACCCACTTATTAAAGACCATTTCAGTTAGCATAACTGCTGAGGGAGGTACTCACGTCTGTGTGGCTCCTTGGCCCTGTCAAAGGCCCCTTCCCGGGACAGAGACAGAGAGTGAGGGGTCATGGGGCTGGAGGGGGCGCTGGAATACCCTGAAGAGGAGCTGCTGTCCCGGGCAAGAGGGTGCACGCCAGTCTCTACCTCCACACACAGCTCTAAACAAAGAAACTGTGATCAATTAAGCTGAAGGTGTATATACAGTTGAAGTCGGAAGTTTACATACACTTTAGCCAAATACATTTAAACTCAGTTTTTCACAATTCCTGACATTTAATCCTAATAAAAATTCCCTGTCTTAGGTCAGTAAGAATCACCACTTTATTTTAAGAATGTGAAATGTTAGAATAGTAGTAGAAAGAATGATTTATTTAAGCTTTTATTTCTTTCATCACATTCCCAGTGGGTCAGAAGTTTACATACGCTCAATTAGTATTTGGTAGCATTGCCTTTAAATTGTTTAACTTGGGTCAAACGTTTCGGGTAGCCTTCCACAAGCTTCCACACAATATGTTGGGTGAATTTTGGCCCATTCCTTCTGACTGAGTCAGGTTTGTAGGCCTCCTTGCTCGCACACGCTTTTTCAGTTCTGCCCACACATTTTTCTATAGAATTGAGGTCAAGGCTTTGTGATGGCCACTCCAATTACTTGACTTTGTTGTCCTTAAGCCATTTTGCCACAACTTTGGAAGTATGCTTGGGGTCATTGTCCATTTGGAAGACCCATTTGCGACCAAGCTTTAACTTCCTGACTGATGTCTTGAGATGTTGCTTCAATATATCCACATAATTTTCCTTCCTCATGATGCCATCTATTTTGTGAAGCGCACCAGTCCCTCCTGCAGCAAAGCACCCCCACAGCATGATGCTGCCATCCCTGTGCTTCACGGTTGGGATGGTGTTCTTCGGCTTGCAAGCATTCCCCTTTTTCCTCCAAACATAACGATGGTCATTATGGCCAAGCAGTTCTATTTTTGTTTCATCAGACCAGAGGACATTTCTCCAAAAAGTACGATCTTCATCCCCATGTGCAGTTGCAAACCGGAGTCTGGCTTTTTTATGGCGGTTTTGGAGCAGTGGCTTCTTCCTTGCTGAGCGGCCTTTCAGGTTATGTCGATATAGGAGTCGTTTTACTGTGGATATAGATACTTTTGTACCTGGTTCCTCCAGCATCTTCACAAGGTCCTTTGCTGTTGTTCTGGGATTGATTTGCACTTTTCGCACCAAAGTACGTTCATCTATAGGAGACAGAACGCGTCTCCTTCCTGAGCGGTATGACGGCTGCGTGGTCCCATGGTGTTTATACTTGCGTACTGTTGTTTGTACAGATGAACGTGGTACCTTCAGGCTTTTGGAAATTGCTCCCAAGGATGAACCAGACTTGTGGAGGTCTACCATTTTTTTCTGAGGTCTTGGCTGATTTCTTTTGATTTTTCCCATGATGTCAAGCAAAGAGGCACTGAGTTTGAAGGTAGGCCTTGAAATACATCCAAAGGTACACCTCCAATTGACTCAAATGATGTCAATTAGCCTATCAGAAGCTTCTAAAGCCATGACATCATTTTCTGGAATTTTCCAAGCTGTTTAAAGGCACAGTCAACTTAGTGTATGTAAACCTCTGACCCACTGGAATTGTGATACAGTGAATTATAAGTGAAATCATCTGTCTGTAAACAATTGTTTGAAAATTACTTGTGTCATGCACAAAGTAGATGTCCTAACCAACTTGCCAAAACTATAGTTTGTTACCAAGAAATTTGTGGAGTGGTTGAAAAACGAGTTTTAATGACTCCAACCTACAGTGGGGGAAAAAAAGTATTTAGTCAGCCACCAATTGTGCAACTTCTCCCACTTACAAAGATGAGAGAGGCCTGTAATTTTCATCATAGGTACACGTCAACTATGACAGACAAATTGAGGGAAAAAAAATCCAGAATATCACATTGTAGGATTTTTAATGAATTTATTTGCAAATTATGGTGGAAAATAAGTATTTGGTCACCTACAAACAAGCAAGATTTCTGGCTCTCACAGACCTGTAACTTCTTCTTTAAGAGGCTCCTCTGTCCTCCACTCGTTACCTGTATTAATGGCACCTGTTTGAACTTGTTATCAGTATAAAAGACACCTGTCCACAACCTCAAACAGTCACACTCCAAACTCCACTATGGCCAAGACCAAAGAGCTGTCAAAGGACACCAGAAACAAAATTGTAGACCTGCACCAGGCTGGGAAGACTGAATCTGCAATAGGTAAGCAGCTTGGTTTGAAGAAATCAACTGTGGGAGCAATTATTAGGAAATGGAAGACATACAAGACCACTGATAATCTCCCTCGATCTGGGGCTCCACGCAAGATCTCACCCCGTGGGGTCAAAATGATCACAAGAACGGTGAGCAAAAATCCCAGAACCACACGGGGGGACCTAGTGAATGACCTGCAGAGAGCTGGGACCAAAGTAACAAAGCCTACCATCAGTAACACACTACGCCGCCAGGGACTCAAATCCTGCAGTGCCAGACGTGTCCCCCTGCTTAAGCCAGTACATGTCCAGGCCCGTCTGAAGTTTGCTAGAGTGCATTTGGATGATCCAGAAGAGGATTGGGAGAATGTCATATGGTCAGATGAAACCAAAATAGAACTTTTTGGTAAAAACTCAACTCGTCGTGTTTGGAGGACAAAGAATGCTGAGTTGCATCCAAAGAACACCATACCTACTGTGAAGCATGGGGGTGGAAACATCATGCTTTGGGGCTGTTTTTCTGCAAAGGGACCAGGACGACTGATCCGTGTAAAGGAAAGAATGAATGGGGCCATGTATCGTGAGATTTTGAGTGAAAACCTCCTTCCATCAGCAAGGGCATTGAAGATGAAACGTGGCTGGGTCTTTCAGCATGACAATGATCCCAAACACACCGCCCGGGCAACGAAGGAGTGGCTTCGTAAGAAGCATTTCAAGGTCCTGGAGTGGCCTAGCCAGTCTCCAGATCTCAACCCCATAGAAAATCTTTGGAGGGAGTTGAAAGTCTGTGTTGCCCAGCGACAGCCCCAAAACATCACTGCTCTAGAGGAGATCTGCATAGAGGAATGGGCCAAAATACCAGCAACAGTGTGTGAAAACCTTGTGAAGACTTACAGAAAACGTTTGACCTGTGTCATTGCCAACAAAGGGTATATAACAAAGTATTGAGAAACTTTTGTTATTGACCAAATACTTATTTTCCACCATAATTTGCAAATAAATTCATTAAAAATCCTACAATGTGATGTTCTGGATTTTTTTTTCTAATTTTGTCTGTCATAGTTGACGTGTACCTATGATGAAAATTACAGGCCTCTCTCATCTTTTTAAGTGGGAGAACTTGCACAATTGGTGGCTGACTAAATACTTTTTTTCCCCACTGTAAGTGTATGTAAACTTCCGACTTCAACTGTAGTAGGTTACCTGCAGTATGTTGTAAGGGTAATGTTGAGAAGGTGTACATCAGAGGAGGCTGGTGGGAGAAGATATAGGAGGTCGGGCTCATTGTAATGGCTGGAATGGAATAATTGGAACGGTATCAAACACAAACATATGGAAACCACACGTTTGACTCCGTTCCGTTTATCCCATTACAGCCATTAAAATGGGCCGATCCTCCTAAATATCCCCCCACCAGCCTCCTCTGGTGTACATGTTGAGGGATTGCCTATGTTAATTAATGTGTAGTCTACATGCTAACAGAGTACAGATCATTTCTGTGTAACCTGTATTCCAAATGTCAAGTTTACTTGTATTGAAAGTATAACCTCTGTCAGATGAGTTGCATACCTGTGTTGCTACTGGAGTGGACGTGTGCCACTGGGACTATGTGGCTGGATGGAGTAACCCTGGCAATGCCACTGCAGGACACAGGGAACTGGGACAACATATACCTCTTCTCCATCTTCTCCCTACTGACAGGAACACAGTCAGTCATCACAGAAACATCTTTGTCATCTCTACATAGCAGACAGCCACAGTATAATCTGGTGACAATAGCACTATTGAAATCCTAGAGGGTGCTCTAGTCTAGCCGTCAAGATTACAAAAGCACAGCATCAACATCCTCTGTTTCACCTACACACCAGCAACAAGTTGTGTGAGGAATAGTCATTTGAGATGAACACCAGTGCCATGAATGGTACAGAGAATTGCTAGATTTTTTTTTAAACAACTTTTGAGTCAGTACTCTTACAAATACAGTACACGGAGGAGGACATATGACACATGCACGATTTTGACAACTCACCATGTTATATTGCTAGGGAAAAAAAGTGTTAATTTAGCTATTTCGCCAGGTGGAGTAAAAACCCGACTTGACAGTGTAATGAGTGATCCCGAATAAGCTCCCATTAAGCTCACTGATAATCAGACAGATCTATGGAAAAGCACCTGAGGAACTTTCCACTTCCTGTCACCAATGCACATGGTCGTACCTGGCTAAACCTGGCTAATGGAAACATGCTGATATTAGCTGTGGAAACAGGCAAAGTGATAGTGTTCTCTCTCAGTACCATTCCTACGCTACAACAGGTGACTGGGTTTTCCATGCGGTTTATTCTTTCCATCTTCCCTTAAGGTACAACTTATCTGGACTAACCAATCTACCCCACCGGAATGCTAGTTAACCATTGACAACCAAATTACCATTATTAATCTTTATACCATGTCATCCCTTACAAAAAAAGATTGCAATTAGAGTGCAGTAAAACTGCAGTATGCTGCAAATACTGCGTCCAAAATAACAGTTTATTTTAATGCAGTAATGTTGCAGTGTACCTGCAGTTACAGTGCAGTATAACTGCAGTTCAACTGCAGTCCACTGCAGTTATTCTGCAATTACTGCGTCCAAAATACCACAGTCGACTGCAGTTAGGGTTTGTTGTAAGGGTTTGTTGTATACTAATTTCTGGCTTGAAGGGTATTCTAGAGCTTGCATTTTTTCCCTATAACGCACTGTATATTTGCACGGTACAATTCAATGGCTATAGTTCATTTTTACATGTTTTGTTTGAGCTGCTTTTGAAAGCAAAAGTCAAATTGAAAACAGTATTAGTATTGTTGAATTAGATTTTCATAATAGTAAGCTAGGACTGATGGTTTGGTTAGCTAAACTAGCAAGTCTGTTTGTTTGGTTACCACAGCAACTACTGTTGCTATCTAGTAAACTTGCTAGCTACTTCAGTGAATGTTGAACACATTTCTACCGGCAAATGAACACATTTCGAGTTGCAAATGTGTTAAATTATAGCCATGGTGTAAAAGGGATAATCAACATGGGGCTCTATGCGTTCTCTGGAAAATAATGCAACTCTGTGGAATGTCAGTTCCACTCCGCTAGCGCGTCTTGGAACACACCTTCCACTTTCCAAAGAACTCATAGCCCTATATCGCATTGTTGAATACTCGTTTCTGATTGCCTTGAAGGGCATTCTAGAGCATTCATTATTTCCCTATAACGCACGGTATATTTGCATGGTAGAATTCAATGGCTATAGTTCATTCTTACATGTTCTATGTTTGAGCTGCTTTTGAAAGCAAAAGTCGAATTGAAAACATTATTGGCATTGTTGAATTAGATTTTCATAATAGCAAGCTAGGACTGATGGTTTGGTTAGCTAAACTAGCAAGCCTGTTTGTTTGGTTACTAAGGCAACTACTGTCTATCTAGTAAACTTGCTAGCTACTTCAGTGGATGTTGAAGACAATTCTAGAGGCAAATGAACACATATCTAGCGGGGAATGTATTAAATTATAGCCATGGTATAAAAGGGATAATCAACTCATGGCTCTCTGGAAAATAATGCAACTCTGTGGAAGGTTATCCACTCCGCTAGCGCAACTCCGTGGAAGGTTAGTTCCACTCCACTAGGGTGTGTCGTTCATTATTTTCCATAGAACGCATAGCCTCTTGTTGATTATTCCTTACATATTCCCTCGCACAAAAACATAATTGATCAATCTCCTGTGTTAATGTTTAATAAAATAAACAATCAACAGACGCACCTTTTACAAATGCTACACCAACTATGAAGTATGACTATCTAAATAATAAAATGATGAAACATATTAGTTGTAAATAGAGTATCTATCTATCTATCTATCTATCATTTTAGTCATTTAGCAGACGCTCTTATCCAGAGCAACTTACAGTTAGTGAGTGCATAAATTTTTTCATACTGGTCCCCCGTGGGAATCGAACCCACAACCCTGGCGTTGCAAGCGCCATGCTCTACCAACTGAGCTACACGGGATCTATCTATCTATCTATCTATCTATCTATCTATCTATCCATCCATCCTTCTACCCATCCATCCATCCATCTCATAACCCTCTGAACTACGTGTCTACACATGAGTATGTTGGAATGGGCACGTCACTGCTTTTATGGGGCTGGGGGACAGAGGGCTTGATGAGGGGTCTGGGTTCAGGGTTCAGACTCACTTCTGCAGTTCCAGCTGTGTCTTCAGCTTCTTCTTGGCTCCCTGGGTGAGGTCATACTTGTTCAGATCCTCCTCTGTGAGTCCAAGGAACTGTGGGAAAGGAGAGACATTTTAAGAGCACAGCTAGGGACTACTAGGGAGAAGAATGTGACTGATAGGGGAAGACAGCAACTGTTGTTTGATCTATTCTAATGTCTACTGTTGGGGCTTTGTAATAACAGACATCTAGCCTCTGACATGTAGCCTTATTCTGACATTTTATAATTTATATTGCACTTGTCCAGCCTACTTGCTTGTAAATATCCTTTGCTGTTTTGATGTTGTTTTTTAATATGTGATTTTGTCTGTATTGTGATTGCTGCAAAATTAATCCCTCTTTGAGGACATTAACGTTTTCTGAATCTGAACTTTCCCTGCATACACCCCATTTCCAAGCCAAAACAAAGCCACTTTTAGTTATATCCTCATCTCTACAGCTCCATAGGTGTCTTAAATGCCACTCATCCACTGTAACCTAAACCCACCAATGAGAGACTCATTCCTTCCTCAGAGCTCACCCACCTCCTCCATGGTCAGCTGCTTGAACACTGGGTAGTACTTGTGCAGGCGTAGTTTCCTCAGCCAGTCCAGGATGCCGTTCTGTTCTGGGCTGCTCTGCAGTGGAGGACCAGGGTTCTGGAGGTAGCCGGGAGGGGGCGCGTTGTCCCCCCCTGCTACCCCCACCCCACCGGGGGGAAGGATGGGCACAGTGCCCTGGGGGGGCAGAGGGGGCAGCTGGGTTGGAGAGCAAGGCTGAATGGAGTTGTGAACGCTCATGACTGTCTGGATACTGGCTACACCACATACAGCCCTGAGAGGAGGAGAGGAGGGCGGGGGGGGGGAGGGGTGAAAGAGGAGTGGAAACATGGAAGGAAAATAGGGAAAAGATAAATATATTGCAAACGATGGAAATAATGTAATTCAGATATTAAGATCATTATACAGTTTGCAGATTTGGATTGGCAGCAACAGCCTATATCAGACTTAGTGAAAGAGTACACAACATGACCAAAAGTATGTGGACACATGCTCGTCGAACATCTCATTCCAAAATCATGGGCATTAATATGGAGTTGGTCCCCCCTTTGCTGCTATAACAGCCTCCACGCAATGAGAAGGCTTTCCACTAGATGTTGGAACATTGCTGCAGGGATTTGCTTCCATTCAGCCACAAGAGCATTAGTGAGGTTGGGCACAGATGTTGGGCAATTAGGCCTGGCTCGCAGTCGGCGTTCCAATTCATCCCAAAGGTGTTCGATAGGGTTGAGGTCAGCCCTCTGTGCAGGCCAGTCAAGTTCTTCCACACCGATCTGGACAAACCATTTCTGTATGGACCTCGCTTTGTGCACGGAGGTATTATCATGCTGAAACAGGAAAGGACCTTCCCCAAACTGTTGCCACAAAGTTGGATGCACAGAATCGTCTAGAATGTAATCGTATGCAGTAGCATTAAGATTTCCCTTCGCTGGAACTAAGGGGCCTAGCCCGAATCATGAAAAACAGCCCCAGACCATTATTCCTCCTTCACCAAACTTTACAGTTGGCACTATGCATTGGGGCAGGTGGCGTTCTCCTGGCATCCGCCAAACCCAGATTCGTCCGTCGGACTGCCAGATGCTGAAGCATGATTAATCACTCCAGAGAACGCGTTTCCACTGCTCCAGAGTCTAAGGACGTTGATCTTAGGCTTGTGTGCGGCTGCTCAGCCATGGAAACCCACTTCATGAAGCTCCCAACTAACAGTTCTTGTGCTGACGTTGCTTCCAGAGGAAGTTCGGAACTCGGTAGTGAGTGCTGCAACCGAGGACAGACGATTTTGACGCGCTATGCGTTTCAGCACTCGGCGGTCCCGTTCTGTGAGCTTGTGTGGCCTACCACTTCGCAGCTGAACCGTTGTTGGTCCTAGACGTTTCCACTTCACAATAACAGCACTTACAGTTGACCGGGGCAGCTCTAGCAGGGCAGAAATTTGACAAACTGACTTGTTGGAAAGGTGGCATCCTTTGACGGTGCCACGTTGAAAGTCACTGAGCTCTTCAGTAAGGCCATTCTACTGCCAATGTTTGTCTATGGAGATTGCATGGCTGTGTGCTCGATTTTATACACCTGTCAGCAACGGGTGTGGCTGAAATAGCCAAATCCACTCATTTGAAGGGGTGTCTCCATACTTTTGTATATATAGTGTATGTTGAGTGTTAAAGACGGGAGCCCACCTGTTGGCTCCTCTGTATTGAAGCAAGCACCCAATACCTGTAGCACAAGAAAGAAACATAGATCAGTCAGTCACATATTCAACAACCTCTAAATAAGCATACTCTATGAATGGCTATATACTGTACGCAAAACACATTTTTGAATCTCGTCTATTGACTTCTTGACCTCTTTACAAGTTAGGAACGAAATATCAGCTGAGGGTCGCCAGTTTGTCCAGTTTAATTTGAGAGCAGTGTGATATTTCAGCATGTCACTGGGGCCTGTGGTACCACATTACAGTGGAGTAAGATAGATTTTTATTCTACTGCATCCCATGGGTCTCATAATATCAGCCAAGGGGCGAAAGTCTAGCTGCTCCAGACACAGTCAGACAGACATTCAGGTCTCTCCTACTGCCACTGCCCTGCCTGGGGGGACGGAATTATAAATAACTCTAGGATGAGGTCACCATTCACCAGGCCTACCAACACAAACATGCTAGTCCAAATTCCCACACAAATCTAAAATAGAAACCCCCCCCCCCCCCAACACCCCTCAAACCCCAGAGATGAAGTGCCCCTACTCTCCGCCAACCAGAGAGGGGGACATATACATCCCATGAACACTAGTAGGGTTAGGACAGGAGTCTTACCTGCAGTGGGGGGGAAGGAGGGGGCGGTGGTGGCAGTGCTGAAGAAGAGTTTAACTTGGTAGTGTTTGAGAATGTGGGCTGGAAGCATTGTCAGGCACCTGTAGAGGCAGAGGGTTAAAGGGCAAACATATGAGATAATGTTACATTCAATGCTTGATATGATTAATTCCCTCCTTATCTCTTGTCTTTGACAGTAACACCAAGAACTAGGTCAAAAACAACATTAAAACAACATGGGTTGTTTTCTCAATTACAGTAACTACTTGGTTGTTACTCATTATCATACATATACAGCATGAAAATAATATATATTACATTTTAGTCATTTAGCAGACGCTCTTATCCAGAGCGACTTACAGTTAGTGAGCGCATACATTTTCCATACGGGCCCCCCGTGGGAATCAAACCCACAACCCTGGCGTTGCAAGCGCCATGCTCTACCAACTGAGCTACAGGAGGCCTATATATATCAAAACACATACAGTATTAACTATGCACCACTGTTATCAAGTGAACATATTCAGGTGGGCTACCTTGGTCAGTGACAATGCTGATGGACCTTACCTGGGGTCCAGCTCAGGGGCCTGATCAAGGCCATGGGACTGAAGCAGGAACTTCTCTAGACCTTCATCAGGGAAAAGCTGGGAGACCTGGGAGAAACACAAAATAGATATTGATCTTCACATCACTATCCATCAGACGGCAGATGGGTACAATGGAAATAAAGACAGGTTTTTTCACCACTTCAAATACTGTAAATCCTAACCTGAAAAAAGGTTGCTGCTAGTTAGCAGAACAGCCAATAAGAGACACTAGCGTTCTGTCCCCTCTCTGTGCTTCAGCCACTTTCTTACCTGGGAGAGAAAGTTCAGCACCTCCTGGTGATTCCTGCTCACAGTGGAAACAGAGGAGTCTGACCATGTGACCTGTGGGATAAGGAGAGTGTGAGTAGACAGGGCAACAGCATACAATAACTAACATACAGTACATACTGGAACTTGTGTGTTCCTGCGTGAGTGGGGCTGTGTGTGCGTGCGTGCGCATACCCACCTCTAGCATATATTCACTTGGTTTCTCCCCCTTGTGAGTCACTCCACTCAGCTCTATCCTCTCTATGTTCACTGAAAAAAATAGAAATCATTGTTTGGATTATCTGACATTATCGTTTAGCAAACAAAGAACACCAAGTACGTCATTGCTTGGTGTCTCATATTTTTCTACCATGCTAGATTATGGGAAAAGCATGCTAGATGAAAATGTAGTTCTTAATGCTCCTATTAGATCTACTGTCGTGACTGTTCTTTTGGCACCAAATGTATGTAACTAAATGAAATATCTGAATTCATAGAGAAAATCCCAGGGAATGATATCACCTGGTGTTTATTTAAACACAAACACTTTAAACTGGAGAACAGAGGAGGACAGCGAGACTAGAGGCAAAATACAGATAGAGAAACAAGGTAGAGAGAAAGAGAGCCATGGAGAGAAACAGCGACAGGAGGATGATCTAGATTTATGTCTGGACTAGTGGCACATTTTAGGGATCCTGCCAGTGACATTTTGAAACATTTGGCTGAACTCCGTATCGGAGATTCAGAGAACACACACACACACACAAACCCTCTGAAATCACATACACAACACTCATAAACCCACATACAGTAGAGCACACACATACACACAGGCCTGTTTGTTAAATATACCTTGCAGACTCAGCACTTCCTCCGGTGTGTATTAGCAATGGGAGAGGCACTAGCTAGCTGAATGAAGCTCTGTACTGAAAGTGCCCTATCTGAGGGGATCAGAAATGCGGAAATATTGTGAAAAACCTCCCGCCACTGTTCTTACCCAGTGGTTTAGCTCTCAGTCTCAGGCCAGGAGTGTGAACTAATCTGAAGTGTTCTGAGTAGCAGAAAGCTTATAGGCCTCACCGTAAGGCTAAACTGCTTTACTAAAGGCTAAAACTTCATTACTTTCACTGTGTGTGTGCGTGTGTGTGTGTGTGTGTGCACGCGTGCGGTGCGTGCGTGCGTGGTGCCTGAGTGCGTGCATGCGCATGCATGTGTGAGTGTAAGTGAAAGAGAGTAGGAACAGTGTGTGTAAAAGAGTCAGGTGAGTGAGTAAGTGGGGAAAGTGAATGTGATGTGAGTGAGAGACAGAAGAGGAACTATGTCATGCTGTCTGGCCTGAATTCTCTCTTCCTGTGTGAGCTCCCACTCCTGCAGTCATGGCTAGAAGGGATCCAGCTTTTACTGAGTTACAGTTCATATAAGGAAATCAGTCAATTGAAATACATTTATTAGGCCCTAATCTATGGATGTAACATGACTGGGAAAACAGATATGCATCTGTTGGTCACAGACACCTTAAAAAAAAAGGTAGGAGCATGGATCAGAAAACCAGTCAGTATCTGGAGTGACCACCATTTGCCTCATGCAGCGTGACACATCTCCTTTGCATAGAGTTGATCAGGCTGTTGATTGTGGCCTGTGGAATGTTGTCCCACTCCTCTTCAATGGCTGTGTGAAGTTGCTGGATATTGGCAGGAACTGGAACACGCTGTCGTACACATCTATCCAGAGCATCCCAGACATTCTCAATGGGTGACACATCTGATGAGTATGCAGCCCATGGAAGAACTGGGACATTTACAGCTTCCAGGAATTGTGTACAGATCCTTGCGACATGGGGCCATGCATTATCATGCTGAAACATGAGGTGATGGCAGCGAATTAATGGCACGACAATGGGCCTCAGGATGTCGTCACGGTATCTCTGTGCATTGAAATTGCCATTGATAAAATGCAATTGTGTTCGTTGTCAGTAGCTTATGCCTGCCCTACCATAACCCCATCCCCACCATGGGGCACTCTGTTCACAACGTTGACATCAGCAAACCGCTCGCCCGGTACAGTTGAAACCGGATTCAACCGTGAAGAGCACACTTCTCCAGCATGCCAGTGGCCATCGAAGGCGAGCATTTGCCCACTGAAGTCGGTTACGACGCCGAACTGCAGTCATGTCAAGACCCTGGTGAGGACGCCAAGCATGCAGGTTTCTGACAGCTTGTGCAGAAATTCTTCGGTTGTGCAAACCTAGTTTCATCAGCTGTCTGGGTGGCTGGTCTCAGACCATCCAACAGGACAACGACCCTAAGTACATAGCCAAGACAACGCAGGAGTGGCTTCGGGACAAGTCACTGAATGTACTTGAGTGGGCCAGCCACTGGAGAGAGCTGAAAATAGCTGTGCAGTGACGCTCCCCGTCCAACCTGACAGAGCATGCGAGGATCTGCAGAGAAAAATGGGAGGAACTCCCCAAGTACAGTTGTGCCAAGCTTGTAGCGTCATACCCAAGAAGACTCGAGGCTGTAAAGGTGCTTCAACAAAGTACTGAGTAAAGGGTGTGAATACTTGTGTAAATGTGATATTTCCGTTAAATATACGTTTGCAATATTTTTGAAAAGCCTATTTTTGCTTTGTCATTATGGGGTATTGTGTGTAGATTGATTAGGAGAAAAAAACAATTTAATCAATTTTAGAATAAGGCTGTAACATAACAAAATGTGGAAAAAGTCAAGGGTTCTGAATTCTTTACGAATGCACTGTAGAAAAGTATGTGGACACGCCTTCAAATTAGTGGATTCGGCTATTTCAGCCACACCGTTGCTGACAGGTGTATAAAATCATGCACACAGCCATGCAATCTCCATAGACAAACATTGGCCCATACTGAAGAGCTCAGTGACTTTCAACGTGGTACCGTCATAGGATGCCACCTTTCCAACAAGTCAGTTCGTCACATTTCTGCCCTGCTAGAGCTGCCCCAATCAACTGTGAAGAGGAAACGTCTAGGAGCGACAACGGCTCAGCCGCAAAGTGGTAGGCCACACAAGCTCACAGAACGTGACCACCGAGTGCTGAAGCGCGTAGCGTGTAAAAATTGTCTGTCCTCGGTTGAAACACTCACTAACGAGTTCCAAACTGCCTCTGGAAGCAATGTCAGCACAATAACTGTTTGTCGGGAGCTTCATGAAACGGGTTTCTATGGCCGAACAGCCGCACACACACCTAAGATCACCATGCGCAATGCCAAGCATAGGCTGGAGTGGTGTAAACCTCACCGCCATTGGACTCTGGAGCAGTGGAAATGCATTCTCTGGAGTGATGAATCAGGCTTCACCCTCTGGCAGTCCGACGAACAAATATGGGTTTGGTGGATGCCAGGAGAATGCTACCTGCCCAAATGCAAGTGCCAACTGTAAAGTTTAGTGGAGGAAGAATAATGGTCTGGGGCTGTTTTTCATGGTTCGGGCTAAGCCGTTTTGTTCCAGTGAAGGGAAATCTTAACGTTACAGCATACAATGACATTCCAGACGATTCTGTGCTTCCAACTTTGTGGCAACAGTTTGGGGAAGGCCCTTTCCTGTTTCAGTATGACAATGCCCCCGTGCACAAAGCGAGGTCCATACAGAAATGGTTTGTCGAGATCGGTGTGGACTGCACAGAGCCTGCACAGAGCCCTGACTTCAACCCCATCAAACACCTTTGGGATGAATTGGAAGGCAGACTGCGAGCCAGGCCTAATCGCTCAACATCAGTGCCCGACCTCACTAATGCTTGTGGCTGAATGGAAGCAAGTCCCTGCGGCAATGTTCCAACATCTAGTGGAAAGCACTCCCAGAGGAGTGGAGGCTGTTATAGCAGCAAAGGGGGGACCAACTCCATATTAACGGCCATGATTTTGGAATGAGATGTTTGACGAGCAGGTGTCCACATACCTTTGGTCATGTAGTGCATCTTGATTACATAAGTATTCAACCCTCTGAGTCAAAACATGTTAGAATAACCTTTGGCAGCGATTACAGCTGAGTCTTTCTGGGTAAGTCTCTAAGAGCTTTCCACACCTGGATTGTGCAACATTTTCCCATTATTATTTTAAACATTTCTTCAATAGGTTGATGATGATTGCTAGTCAATCATTTTCAGATCTTGCCATAGACTTTTAAACAAATTCAAACTGTAACTCGGTCACTCAGGAACATCCACTGTCTTCTTGGTAAGCAACTCCTATGTAGATTTGGCCTTGTGTTTCAGGCTATTCTCCTGCTGAAAGGTGTATTCATCTCCCAGTGTCTGGTGGAAAGCAGACTGAAATAGGTTTGCCTCTAGGATTTTGCCTGTGCTTAGCTCCATTCCGTTTCTTTTTTATCCTGTAAAAATCCTTAACGATTACTAGCATACCCATAACAAGATGCAGCTACCACTATGCTTGAAAATATGGAGAGTGGTACTCAATAGTGTGTTGTATTGGATTTGCCCAAAACATAACACTTCGTATTCAGGACAAAAAGTTAATTGCTTTGACACATTTTTTGCAGTATTACTTCAGTGCCTTGTTGCAAACAGGATGCATGTTTTGGAATATTTATATTCTGTACAGGCTTCCTTCTTTTCAATATGTCAATTACAGTGCCTTGCAAAATGATTCATCCCCCTTGGCGTTTTTCCTATTTTGTTGCATTACAACCTGTAATTTAAAATGGATTTTTATTTGGATTTCATATAATGTACATACACAAAATAGTTCAAATTGGTGAAGTGAAATGAAAAAAATAACTTGTTTCAAAAAATTCTACAAAATAAATAACGGAAAAATGGTGCATGTATATGTATTCACCCCCTTTGCTATGAAGCCCCTAAATAAGATCTGGTGCAACCAATTACCTTCAGAAGTCACATAATTAGTTAAATAAAGTCCACCTGTGTGCAATCTAAGTGTCACATGATCTCAGTATATATACAGTCGTGGTCAAAAGTTGAGAATGACACAAGTATTGGTCTTCACAAAGTTTGCTGCTTCAGTCTTTTTAGATATTTTTGTCAGATGTTACTATGGTATACTGAAGTATAATTACAAGCATTCCATTAGTGTCAAAGGTTTTTATTGACAATTACATTAAGTTTCTGCAAAGAGTCAATATTTGCAGTGTTGACCCTTCTTTTTCAAGACCTCTGCAATCCGCCCTGGCATGCTGTCAATTAACTTCTGGGCCACATCCTGACTGATGGCAGCCCATTCTTGCATAATCAATGCTTGGAGTTTGTCAGAATTTGTGGGTTTTTGTTTGTCCACCCGCCTCTTGAGGATTGACCACAAGTTGTCTCTCGAGTGGCGCAGTGGTCTAAGGCACTGCATCGCAGTGCTAGCTGTGCCACTAGAGATCCTGGTTCGAATCCAGGCTCTGTCGTAGCCGGCCGCGACCGGGAGACCCATGGGGCGGCGTACAATTGGCCCAGTGTCGTCCAGGGTAAGGGAGGGAATGGCCGGCAGGGATGTAGCTCAGTTGATAGAGCATGGCATTTGCAACGCCAGGGTTGTGGGTTCGATTCCAGTATGAAAATAAATAAATAAATAAAATAAACATGTATGCACTCACTAACTGTAAGTCGCTCTGGATAAGAGCGTCTGCTAAATGACGTAAATGTAAGTTCTCAATGACAGAGTGATCTCATGACAGAGTGATCTCCAGCCTTGTCCTTGTCAACACTCTCACATGTGTTAACAAGAGAATCACTGACATGATGTCAGCTGGTCCTTTTGTGGCAGGGCTGAAATGCAGTGGAAATCTTTTTTGGGGGATTAAGTTCATTTTCATGGCAAAGAGGGACTTTGCAATTAATTGCAATTCATCTGATCACTCTTCATAACATTCTGGAGTATATGCAAATTGCCATCATAAAAACTGAGGCAGCAGACTTTGTGAAAATTAATATTTGTGTCATTCTCAAAACTTTTGACCACGACTGTACAACTGTTCTGAAAGGCCCCAGAGTCTGCAACACCACTAAGCAAGGGGCACAACCAAGCAAGCAGCACCATGAAGACCAAGGAGTTCTCCAAACAGGTCAGGGACAAAGTTGTGGAGAAGTACAGATCAGGGTTGGGTTCCCCCAAAAAATTATGAAACTTTGAACATCCCACGGAGCACCATTAAATCCATTATTAAAACATTGAAAGAATATGGCACCACAACAAACCTGCCAAGAGAGGGCCGCCCTCCAAAACTCATGGACCAGGCAAGGAGGGCATTAATCAGAGGCAACAAAGAGACCAAAGATAACCCTGAAGGAGCTGCAAAGCTCCACAGCGGAGATTGGAGTATCAGTCCATAGGACCACTTTAAGCCGTACACTCCGCAGAGCTGGGCTTCACGGAAGAGTGGCCAGAAAAAAGCCATTGCTTAAAGAAAAAAATAAGCAAACACGATTGGTGTTCGCCAAAAGGCATGTAGGAGACTCCCGAACATATGGAAGTAGGTACTCTGGTCAGATGAGACTAAAATTGAGCTTTTTGGCCATCAAGGAAAACGCTATGTCTGGTGCAAACCCAACACCTCTCATCACCCCGAGAACACCATCCCCCATGCTGTGGGGATGTTTTTCCATCGACAGGGACTGGGAAACTGGTCAGAATTGAAGGATGGCGCTAAATACAGGGAAATTCTTGAGGGAAACCTGTTTCAGTCTTCCAGAGATTTGAGACTGGGACGGAGGTTCACCTTCCAGCAGGACAATGACCCTAAGCATACTGCTAAAGCAACACTCGGGTGGTTTAAGAGGAAACATTTAAATGTCTTGGAATGGCCTAGTCAAAGCCCGGACCTCAATCCAATTGAGAATCTGTGGTATGACTTAAAGATTGCTGTACACCAGCGGAACCCATCCAACTTGAAGGAGCTGGAGCAGTTTTGCCTTGAAGAATGGGCAAAAATCCCAGTGGCTAGATGTGCCAACCTTATAGAGACATTCCCCTGTAGCTCAGTTGGTAGAGCATGGTGCTTGCAACGCCAGGGTTGTGGGTTCGTTTCCCACGGGGGGCCAGTATGAAAATGTATGCACTCACTAACTGTAAGTCACTCTGGATAAGAGTGTCTGCTAAATGACTGAAATGTTAAAATGTAATACCCCAAGAGACTTGCAGCTGTAATTGCTGCAAAAGGTGGCTCTGCAAAGTATTGACTTTGGGGGGGGGGGGGGGGATTTTTGCACGTTTAATTTTCTTACGTTTTAGTTTGATTTATTTTGTTTTATTTATTTGCACCAAAGAAAACAAGTGAAGTGTGCAGGTGTGGTTGGAAGCCCAAGGGCTTATATGAAAACCATGTGATTGTTTTTTCACATTTAAAACTGCACATTCCACGTGAGGTGAAAACATGTTTTTCTTCTCACATGCAAAAAGGTGGTGTTAAAATGTGAACTCAAAATGTCATACATTTGAAAATATGGTTTCATATTAAATTTAAGCTCAACATGTGAAAACAGCTATTTCAACCCACTGCCCAGCCACCCAGCCCACTGCCCAGCCACCCAGCCCACTGCCCAGCCACCCAGCCCACTGCCCAGCCACCCAGCCCACTGCCCAGCCACCCAGCCCCCTGCCCAGCCACCCAGCCCACTGCCCAGCCACCCAGCCCCCTGCCCAGCCACCAAGCCCCCCTGCCCACAGTGCCCATCCACCCCACTGCCCAGCCAACTGCCCACAGTGCCCATCCACTGCCCAGCCACCCAGCCCACATCCACCCAGCTCACTGCCCAGCCACCCAGCCCACAGTGCCCATCCACCCAGCCCACTGCCCACAGTGCCCATCCACCCAGCCCACTGCCCAGCCTACTGCCCAGCCACCCAGCCCACAGTGCCCAGGTACCCAGCCCACTGCCCTCTACCACCTTGCCTCTCCCTCAGCACCCTGCCCTGCCCTGTGCCCAGCAGGCAGCAGCTGCTGGAGGCTCCACATGCCTGGTGCCAGACTCGTTAATCCAGGGCATTCTGCCATTCTAACAGATCTGGTTACATATTGCACCCTGTGAAAATACACCGGCACACAAAGACACACAAAAGTAGGTATTAAATCAACAGTTTTTCTCTTTTGTGCATTATCAGCACCTTTCGTGTTGTGTGTGTATTATGATAATGACACCAAAACCAAGATTGCATTACCAAAATAATAGTCACTCACTATCTGCATGTTTGAATAACAAGTGCACTCTGGCTGCTGTCTGTGTGTGTTTGTGTGTGCGTTTGTGTGTGTGTGTGTGTGTGTGTGTGCGCATGTGTGCGTGTGTGTGTGCTTGGAGGTATGCTTGCCCTGCTTTGTGCTGCTGATGACAGGCATGCAGCCCTGGCCATGAGGTAGTGTAGCTAACTCAGCATTGGGTTACCAGAAAACGAAGAGGCCAATCCTACTGAGTAACCGAGAGACCTGCTCCTTTCAAAGCAATATAAGACCCCAGCTTAACATGCTCCTCTAACTATCAACTCTTTACCCCTCTAACACCGTTCAAAAAACTATCAACCCCTTAATATTTGCACTACCTTCAGATAAAAGACAATCCTGCACACTGACACATAGTGTGTGTGTGTCTGTGCGCATGCTTGTGTTCAAAATATTAAATTGTTACAGTAGAATCCATTGACCTGTCACGTCTACCTACAAGATAGTGCACAGTGAATCAAAGAAGAAGAATCAAATCTCGAAGAAGAATCTGGAATTTAGAACTTCTACTGTACTACCATCTACTGCCTATTTTGAAAACTTTGGAGAAAATCTGTAATAATTTCCTATTTGCCCCCCCACTCCGTCCCACCTCCAGACAAAACCTTCCAAAACTGGAGAAGAAAACGTGGCTCGTGAATTACATAACATGTGACCACTCTTGGATTCAACATCTGTTATGCTCAAGAGTAGTCTCAGTAATCTCAAGAGTTCCAGTGTGTTCTGCTTTAGTGTACTTGACATTGACACAACAATATAGAGTAGTAGTGTGGAATGCAGATATATTGCAGACAGTCAGGTACCCAGGCCAGGAGAAGCCATCGTCATTATGCAAAGAGCAGGGAGTTGAAGAAAGACAAAAATACATGCGGACAACTAAGAAACAATATTTATAGCTGTAGTGTCTGGGACCTTAAAATGATCCAATGCAACAGTATCATCCAAATCCAAACAAGCATGGCCCTTTGTGAGTTTGTTTCTTCGTGGGTGTGCATGCGTACAAGTGTCTATTCCGGTCTGTTCATAGCCTAACAGCAAATATTTAAAGATATTGTACTAAGGAGAAGTAGAGAACAGTCTGCTACACTCTCATTGAATAGCATATACAGTATTCCCCCTCATAACAAATACCTTAATACTAAAGTGACACTCTACTAGAGTAAAGGTTTTAAACATCATTCCACATAGCAGTGGAAGTGTTTAGTAGTGTGTGAGAGGTATGTACAGTGTAAAGGACTGACTGAAAAATGAGAAATGTGAAACAGAGGTTGATGGGAGATTCCTGCAGCAGCTTCTCCCTCCAGACCAGAGCAATGTAGTAGTGTGTAAAACATAACACTGATGCCCTTCACCGCACCATGGTGCACCCTCAGGTTGAGAACTAAATATATGACCATCCTTCTCCCTCTCCTTCTGATAGGGGGAGGGCCGTAGGGCAAGCATGCCTCCACATTCCTCAAGGAGCCTGGTTTGTCGGTTTCGGTGTTTCAGCGTGTGGTTTCTTGTTCTGGGTGCATGTGTGAGTGTCTGGCACAAACTGAACTGCTTATTCTAAAGACACGTACTGAATGACTGACAACGTAATACCTTTGAACTCAAGAATCCCATACTACAGTGTGTGACGTTGTTGGAGAGAACCTTGACCCTTACTGTCACTGGGATGTCCTGTCCTGTCTCGTACGCAGACAGGGTAGATAAGTGTGACAGATTTCTGTGTATAAGTATGTCAGAGCAAAGTTCTGTGTCTCACCTTTGCTCGATTTCCCAACATGCACCTTGACTGGCAGCTCCTTGCATGAGAGAGATGGCATGTGGGGCATGGGTTCTGGAACAATCCCCTCGTCCCCTCGCCCTGCACCGTCCCCTCGCCCTGCCCCGTCCTCTCGGAGCGGTGTCTGTGAAACAGGGGTCAAAGGTCAGGTTAAGTAATCAGAGGTTAATATCATGGTCAGAAGCAGTTAGAAGGTTACGGATCTGTAATCTTTCAGCACCTTGACTGCCTTTCAGACTGTCCTACACATTGACTGTCACACATTCAGCTTCCTCATCTATCATGACTCAAAGAGGTAAGAAACAGGATCACACATACATTTTTCAAAATCACTGAATTCATTTGAAAATGACCTCCGATGCCCTCATAGGGGTCATTTTCTCAGGACCTTTTCTTCATCTCTTTTTAACTAAAGAACATAGAAAATCACTGTTTTCACATAGACAATGGTATGGTGCTGGAGATACTGAATATGAGGTTAAAAAGTGATTAAGTGCCCCTTTAAGTGATGGAAAGCTGTCATTAGTAAAAGGTTCCCACAAATATGACAGCTGGTCTTTCACAAAATTGTTTAGCTCTTTCGCAGTAGCCTATATTGTCTTAAGAGTTATACGTTATGACCATTGACAGTGGGCATTGACACACTAAGCAGCACACTTGCTCTGTGATTAGGTACCTTGTCAAGAAGACAGCTAGGTGACAGTAATAGCCACTGTTACTCTGAACACTTGTCTGTACAACTAACCACTTTCCTGGAAAGGTGAGCCATTTGAAAAAGGACTGTTGTTAGGTGGTCTACTCTTATATTATTTCAGGACAATTTATCCTGCTTGTCTTTACTTTTATATGCACAGTAATCTTATTGCTTCAGTAATTATTTACATGTACCGGTAAAATTTAATTTCTAGAGTTGTGCAGTCCAAATTGATTGGTCACGGGAATGGCTTGATTCCAACCAAATGTGTATACAGTTGTGTCTTTCTTTCCTTTTTGAAGCCCTTTCAGTGGTGAGGCTGATGTGTTTAACAGCAGAGGTCATGCAGCACACATGCTCATCCAAGCAGCAACAGAAACACACACAGACAAGCTCTGAAACCAATTAAGTGTGCTTTACAATGTGCTACTGCCACATCCACATCGACTCCTGCCAAATCTTCTACTTTTCTCGGGGAAAATGGGAAATCCTGCTGCTAGGAGAAATGCTAGCTGCCTGAGCTGGGTTTAGAACTGAAATGGGCATGGCAGTGGCAAAGGTCCTGGCAGATAACATACTGAAACACCGCTAAGGAGTTCCTCCTGCCTTTTTTCCTGAAGGCTTAAACCCAAAATAAAGCAGTAAATGATGTGTGACATTTTTAAATTTACTTTTTTCTCATCACTCATTACCATAAGTTTAGAATTTACTGTATGATTAATATGTGAGTGTGGTTTATGTTTCATGTCTGATCGGGTTAGGGTGATCGTAAAGGCTTCTTCTTTGAACAGTCAGAGAGAGCAGCAATCAGAGCTTCCTGGTGATTCACTGGAGGGTTAAGTCTCTCTCACACAGGATTGATTTCAGCATTGAGAAATGTGCTGGCCTGCACTTAACAGAGGCCAAGACCAAAACAACACTAAATACAACCAACCGCTTTCCTTTGAGCAGGCAGGGTACTTTCCCCTCAGACACAAGTTTGAACAGCCCTGTGTGTGTGTGCTGTGTGTCTCAGATTCAACACAATGACAAACAGGCCTTCGTAGAGATCCTCTCTTTGCCTAAGAATAGAAAAAAGTCAACCTGTGTGCCAATGTGTTCAAATCCAACTGATGGTTTACGGTACATTTTTCATTTGTAACATTATATCCGGCCTTTTAAGTGTTCTTTACTCTCTTTCTCTGTCAAACACACACGCCAGTGCATACACACATACACGCACACACACACAAGGGTAATGACATTTTCAGATGTATCTAGAGGTTGTTTTTTGTAAATAATAATATTCCTGATGTTCAACAAAAGCCCCTTAAACTGTCGTAACATCATTCATAATGTTTTGCAATACATCTTAAAAGCAAAGAAAGCTGTATATTTAGTTAACAAGGAAGACGTGGTTTCCCATTCCCACATTGCTGTGTTGACATCCGGTTCTCCAGAGAAATAAAAGTCATGCTGAATCTACAGACAGACATTGTGAGTGAATGTTCAGGACTCAGGAGGAACACCAATGGTTGGGGACAACAGACAGATATGCCCCTGGGGGACCAGTGAAAAACATGTTTGTTTAGTTTTTTTAACCTTTATTTAACCAGGTAAGCCAGTTGAGAACAAGTTCTCATTTACAACTGCGACCTGGCCAAGATAAAGCAAAGCAGTGCGAAAAAACAACAACACAGAGTTACATATGGGGTAAAACAAAACATAAAGTCAAAAATACAACAGAAAATATACAGTGTGTGCGAATATAGTAAATTAGGTAAGGCAATAAATAAGCCATAGTGCAAAATAGTGTTGGGAGTTGTTGAATGCACTAGCATTCACCAACTCTTTTGCTTATTAGGTATCCTAGAACTTTGTGTTTAGGATATTTGCTCAAACTTGGCAGTGGCACAAGACCATTCAGATATCTAGCCATCAAGTAAGTGACAACAGGGACAATATATGACCTACCTTATGACAACATGGACACCCGGCCTGACAGGAGTTGAGGGTGGGCGCAGTGATGTAGGTAGGGATGCTAGTGGCGGGAGACAGGGTGGCCAGCGAGCCAGTCCCGCTGCAGCCTCCAGTGCCGGCCTGCTGCTCTCCACAGGTGACCTGCAGGATCTCTTGGATCTGGGTCAGCTCCTGTCTTAGCACCTGTTTCTGGTGAAAGCTGAAAGCCGGGTGATTGGATGCCATGGTGAAGAGGAGAAGGAACTGCTCCCCCGTTCGTCCATCGTTGAGCTGCAGGCCATAGTTGTTGATGATGCTGTCGATGTGCGTGAGCGTTCGGAAGAGAACACCCGCCGCCTCTCGGTTGTCGGAGCTGAGAAGTGCGAGGGAGATGAGCAGCTTGCTCCTCACGACGTCGTCCGTGATGTTGGTAAGATTCGAGAGGTCAGCAGGGTTGTTGGCTTTGATCTCGGCGTCCCTGAGGGAGTGATAGTCTTTGCGGGCTAAGTCTTCCAAGCAAGACCCGAGGAAGCGTAGTTCGATTGGAACACAGAGGTCCAAAAGCCCACAAAGGAACTCAGCTCTCTGGGCCGAATTCAATATCGAGAACCAGTGGTAGACCCCTTCCCTTTGAACGGAACATCGATTTTCAACCATTTTAATAGCGACTCACAAATTTAAACATGGATTATTTTGTTGATAGTAATTAGGCCTAAAAATAATAAGATGGCAAGACTAAAATGAGTCAGCCAAAACTCCATCTAGGCCTACTACAATAAACTTGAAACAAAGAGTGCAGCAATTCCGGTGCCGGAACAGTTACTTTGTGAACGTTCACCTGGCGCTGGTTATTATTTTGACAATAATCGTATTCAATGTATCCAGGACCACTTGAGTTTTCGGAAACATAAGTTAGGCCTATCGCACGCCCAATTTATTTGTTTACAGGCCAGTCGCAACATTGTTGAAATATGTATTCAAAACGTTATTCACGTGAAAGTCTATAAACAAAAGCATGAGTCTGGGTTTACTATATTGCAAGGCTCAGCGTAGTGACAACTCCCCAGTCATCCAGGCTTTCTCCGCCAGCCCTCCGAGGTCCCCACGTCAATGGATTATGGAACAGAGCATGCACATTCCTCCATAAAGTAGATTGAAATGAAAAATACCATATAAGTATTACACACAGAGATACTTTACTTCCAGTGTCATTGGCGCCACTCTCTGATTTCCCCCTGTAAGACAATACTTTTCGATGGGAATCCGCATTGCATTCGTTGAACTTCTGAGAGCGTCCGCCAACAAACAAGACCATAAACTGCAGCCAACAACCTTAGTGTTAAAGTTTAAACGCAAACTATTTAGTTAAATCCTATTGGTCGTAAGCATAACCAGTGGCGCATCCAGATTTGTTCCAGACAAATAAAGGTTATGATGATCATTTCGGTAAACAGTCCGTAACTTTTTCGAAATGCAATTCAAGTAATACGCACCCTCCCTTTCATTCGGTCATAACCCTGAAATCAAGAAAAACAGCTGTGTGATACATTATCCCAACCTCTGCCAGATAAGCCCATTAACTGAAAATTCTCCACTTCGATTGGGTGTACATCTTGTCAGTAACCCCAGCTGCTGGTGTGATTGGTCAGAAAAGTATCTGCACTACACATCTTTTTCATATGCGCTCAAACATACACCTCTCCGATTTGGTCAACGCGGTACTGTACTTTTTAAATAGCGAGTCACCCTCTAAAGTGTATGAGTTGAGGAAGTGTATCGTTTTAAAGACAGACGCATATGGCATCTTTTGTCATGAAATGTTTTTTCAAACTAATATTAGTGTAAGACGAGCAGCAGAATAGAGAGAGCAGAACAGTTATGAAGTCATTTCCATAACGTCACTCTGGCTGTGTGCATTGTTTGGTCCATGGCCTTTATTTTACAGAAGATCTGAACTGTAGCTTTTTCTGACTATGGCCTAAAAAAAAGTACTGACATCTTTAGAAATATACTACATGACCAAATGTATGTGGACACTTGCTCGTAGAACACCTCATTCCAAAATAATGGCCATTAAAATGGAGTTGGTCCCCCATTTGCTGCTATAACAGCCTCCACTCTTCTGGGAAGGCTTTCCACTACATGTTGGAACATTGCTGCGGGGACTTGCTTCCATTCAGCCATAAGAGCATTAGTGAGGTCGGGCACTGATGTTGGGCGATTAGGCCTGGTTCGCAGTCTGCATTCCAATTCATCCCAAAGGTGATGGAGTTGAGGTCAGGGCTCTGTGCAGGCCAGTCAAGTTCTTCCACACTGATTTCGACAAACCATTTCTGTATGGACCTCGCTTTCCCCAAACTGTTGCCACAAAGTTGGAAGCACAGAATTGTCTAGTATGTCATTGTATGCTGTAGCGTTAATATTTCCATTCCCTGGAACTAAGGGGCCTAGCCCGAACCATGAAAAACAGCCCCAGACCATTATTTCTCCTCCACCAAACTTTACAGTTGGCAATATGCATTGGGACAGGTAGTGTGGTCCTGGCATCCGCCAAACCCAGATTAGTCCGTAGGATTGCCAGAGGGTGAAGCGTGATTCACCACTGCTCCAGAGTCCAATGGCGGCGAGCTTTACACCACTCCAGGCGATGCTTGGCATTGCGCATGGTGATCTTAGGCTTGTGTGCGGCTGCTCGGCCATGGAAAACCATTTCATGAAGCTCCCAACAAATAGTTATTGTGCTGATATCGCTTTCAGAGGCAGTGTGGAACTCGGTAGTGAGTCTTGCAACCGAGGACAGACGATTTTTACGCGTTACGCGTTTCAGCACTCAGCGGTCACGTTCTGTGAGCTTGTGTGGCCTACCACTTCGCGGCTGAGCCGTTGTTGCTCCTAGACGTTTCCACTTCACAATAACAGCACTTACAGTTTGCCCGGGACAGCTCTAGAAGGGCAGAAATTTTACGAACTGACTTGTTGGAAAGGTGGTATCCTATGACGGTGCCACGTTGAAAGTCACTGAGCTCTTCAGTAAGGCTATTCTACTGCCAATGTTTGTCTATGGAGATTGCATGGCGGTGTGCTCGCTTTTATACACCTGTCAGCAACGGTTGAGGCTGAAATAGCCGAATCCACTAATTTGAAGGGGTGTCCACATACTTTTGTATATATAGTGTATATTATTGCAAACATATTTCTAATGTGTGCAATGCATTCATATATTGTTAAAAGATGCACTTGTTTGACATTTGAGTATTCTCTAATGGAATGTCTTTCCTTGACCACATAGCAGATTGACATTTATTGTCATGAGTCCTGTCCTGAAGGCAGGACTGGCCCACTGGGCAAAAACTTATTGAATCGACATTGTTTCCACGTCATTTTAACCCAAAATCAATGTGATGATGTTGAATCAACTGGAAAACTCATTGGATTTACAACCCGTCATCATCGTAAGGGCATTTAGTCTTTTTTTCATCTAACTTTTAACCTAAATCCAATGACATGGTGAAATTTTTTGTTGATTTCACGTTGAATTCACAATTATTGAAAACAACGCAATGTAAATCAAAACTAGAAGTTGAACAGTTGACAGTACAGGTGCATCAAAGATGGGACCGAGAGACTGAAAAACAGCTTCTATCTAAATAGTCACCACTAGCCGGCCTCCGCCCAGTACCCTGCCCTGAACTTTAGTCATGGTTACTAGCCGGCTACCACCCGGTACTCAACCCTGCACCTTAGAAACTGCTACCCTATTTACATAGTCATTGAACACTGGTCACTGTTTTACCCACTTCATATGTATATACTGTATCCTAGTGAAGACTCATCCTATATAACTACTGCTGTACAAATGTTTTCTATTCATATACTATCCATAATGTCTATACACACCATTATATACATATACAATGCAATCAGAAAGTATTCAGAGTTTACGGTCTAACCAGACACCTAGGTATTTGTAGTTGTCCACATATTCTAAGTCAGACCCGCCGAGAGTAGTGATTCTAGTCGGGCGGGCGGGTGCAAGCAGCGTTCGATTGAAGAGCATGCATTTAGTTTTACTAGCGTTTAAGAGCAGTTGGAGGCCACGGAAGGAGTGTTGTATGGCATTGAAGCTCGTTTGGAGGTTTGTAAACACAGTGTCCAATGAAGGGCCAGATGTATACAAAATGGTGTCGTCTGCGTAGAGGTGGATCTGAGAGTCACCAGCAGCAAGAGCGACATCATTGATATACACAGAGAATAGAGTCGGCCCGAGAATTGAACCCTGTGGCACCCCCATAGAGACTGCCAGAGGTCCAGACAACAGGCCCTCTGATTTGACACATTGAACTCTATCTGAGAAGTAGTTGGTGAACCAGGCGAGGCAGTCATTTGAGAAACCAAGGCTATTTAGTCTGCCAATAAGAATGCGGTGATTGACAGAGTCAAATGCCTTGGCCAGGTCGATGAAGACGGCTGCACAGTACTGTCTTTTATCGATCGCGGTTATTATATCGTTTAGGACCTTGAGCGTGGCTGAGGTGCACCCATGACCAGCTCGGAAACCAGATTGCATAGCGGAGAAGGTACGGTGGGATTCAAAATGGTCGGTGATCTTTTTGTTAACTTGGCTTTCAAATACTTTCGAAAGGCAGGGCAGGATGGATAAAGGTCTGTAACAGTTTGGATCTAGAGTGTCACCCCCTTTGAAGAGGGGGATGACCGCGGCAGCTTTCCAATCTCTGGGGATCTCAGACGATACGAAAGAGAGGTTGAACAGGCTAGTAATAGGGGTTGCGACAATTCTGGCAGCTAATTTTAGAAAGAAAGAGTCCAGATTGTCTAGCCCAGCTGATTTGTAGGTGTCCAGATTTAGCAGCTCTTTCAGGACATCAGCTATCTGAATTTGGATGAAGGAGAAGCGGGAGGGGCATGGGCAAGTTGCAGCGGAGGGTGCAGAGCTGGTGGCCGGGGTAGGGGTAGCCAGGTGGAAAGCATGGCCAGCCGTAGCAAAATGCTTATTGAAATTCTCGATTATCGTAGATTTATCGGTGGTGACAGTGTTTCCTAGCCTCAGTGCAGTGGGTAGCTGGGAGGAGGTGCTCTTATTCTCCATGGACTTTACAGTGTCCCAAACCTTTTTGGAGTTAGTGCTACAGGATGCACATTTCTGTTTGAAAAAGCTAGCCTTTGCTTTCCTAACTGCTTGTGTATATTGGTTCCTGACTTCCCTGAAAAGTTGCATATCGCGGGGGCTGTTCGATGCTAATGCAGTACGCCACAGGATGTTTTTGTGCTGGTCAAGGGAAGTCAAGTCTGGGGTAAACCAGGGGCTATATCTGTTCTTAGTTCTGTTCTTAGTTGATGGAGAGGAAAGCACTTTTGAAGAACATCCAGGCATCCTCTACTGATGGAATGAGGTCAATATCCATCCAGGATACCCGGGCCAGGTCAATTAGAAAGGCCTGCTCACTGAAGTGTTTTAGGGAGCGTTTGACAGTGATGAGGGGTGGTCGTTTGACCGCGGACCCATTACGGACGCAGGCAATGAGGCAGTGATCGCTGAGATCCTGGTTGAAGACAGCGAAGGTGTATTTAGAGGGTAAATTAGTCAGGATGATATCTATGAGGGTGCCCATGTTTACGGATTCAGGGTTGTACCTGGT